GCAGCTGGCTCGGATTTACATTCATGAGTTTTCACCTTCATGGTGTGCCCGTGTTTATCTTTTTGGATCGAGGCACTTAGTTCACGTTGCAGTTTTGGAGAGCAATGTAGAGAGAGTTGGGCACACGGGTAGAGTTAAGTACAACATTTTATCGCCATATGGACGGGTGGTTTGGTCGCACTATTCAGGTCTTGGAGGACATGCTACGTGCTTGTGTTATTGATTTCAAAATGCCATGGGATCAGTTACTTCCATTAGCAGACTTCGCCTAGAACAATAGCTTTTAATCGAGTATCCAGCTTGCTCCTTATGAAGCCTTATATGGGAGGAGATGTCGTTCTTCAGTTTTTTGGTTAGAACCTAGGGAGGCTAGGTTGTTGGGCACTGATATAGTCTGTGATGTCTTGGAGAAGGTGAAGGTTATTCAGGAGCGGGTTCATATATCATAGTCCATGCAAAAGAGTTATGCTGACAGGAATGTTCGAGATGTTGCATAAATGGTGGGTGAGAAAGCTCTACTCAGCGTTTCTCCCATGAAGTGTGTAATGTGATTGAAGAAGGGGAAGTTGAGACGTAGGTATATTGGCCCTTTTGAGGTTCTTGAGAGAGTGGGAGAGATGGCTTATAGACTTGTCTTGCCACCTAGTTTATCGAGTGTTCACCCAGTATTTCATGTGTCTATGCTCCCAAAGTATTATGGTGATCTGTCCCATGTTTTGGACTTCAGCGCGGTACAACTAGATGGAGATTTGACATAAGATGTGGAGCCGGCCATTTTTGACCAACATGTTCGAAAATTGAGGTCGAAGAGCATGGCTTCGGTGAAGGTGCTTGGAGGGGTCATCCTGTCGAGGAGGCTACATGAGAGACCGAGCAGGAGATGCAGAGCAGATATCTACACTTATTTTTTACTTCAGGTATGATTCTAGACCCGTTCGAGCACGAACGTCGGTTTAAAAGGGGGAGAATATAACGAAGCAACGATCATTTTGAGTACTTTAGCCTCATTTCCCTATTTGATGCCTTACTTATGTGATTGTGGTTATGTGACTTTTTGGGGTGGTTGGTTTGGTTTTGGGAAGGTTTTGGAGTGAATTGGGACACTGTCCCAAGGTGGAAGCCTAGTTTGTAAGAGTTGACCGAAGTTTGACTTTTATGTAGACGACTCCAGAGTAGTATTTTGACTATTCCAATAGCTTTATATGGTGATTGTGAACTTAGGCGTGTGTCCAAATTTGGATTTGGAGGTCCGTAGGTTTATTTGTTGCTTTTTGGTGAAAGTTGAAAAGTTAAAGGTTTGGAAGGTTGATAGGTTTGACCGGGAGTTGACTTTGTTGATATCGGGTTCAGATTTTTGTTCTGGGAGTTGGACTAGGACCGTTGTGTTGTTTGGGACTTGTGTGCAAATTTTGAGGTCATTCTGAGTTGGTTTGATGTGATTCGGCATGAGTTTTAGAAGTTGTAAGTTCATTAGTGTCATTAGGCTTGAATTGGGGTAAGCTTCATGATTTTGATGTTGTTTGATGTGATTTGAGGCTTCGAGTAGGTTCATATTGTGTTATAGGACTTGTTGGTATGTTTGGATGGGGTCCCGGGGACCTTGGGTGTGTTTTGGATGAGTTGCAGATCATGTTTGGACTTGGAGGTTATGGTTGAAGGATTCTGGTTGCTGGTGTTTTCTCATCTGTGGTGGTAGGCTAAAATCATGTGTTTTAGTCGTATTTTGCACTCTAATTACTGCACTTTGAGCGTGTTTGAGCTTAAATGATGGTGATTTGCACTTATTACGTGGTTTATGCTTTGTAGGAGATGATTCTGAGTTAATAAGATGTTCTGGAGCTAAATCGCATAATTTGGAGCTTTGAAGTCTGAGTAAAAGCCCAAGGAATTTAACTGGGATCATGTAGGGGCTCGTGGACCAGCGTTGTATGCGAAAATTGGAAGAAAGAGCAAGGACTAGAGCAAAAAGTACTAGTGCGTCGCATAAGGCGTGGCATTAAGCGTCGCATTAGTACAAAATTTCGTTAGAAGTTTGAGAAGTTCAGAGACTTGGAGTTTTTGGGTCTGACCGAAAAATACACTAATGCTACGCATAACACGTGGCATAGTGTGAGGCATTAGTACAAAATTTTGTTAGACAATCTAAGTTCAGAGAATTTACAAATGAACAAATTGCAACAATGCTACGCACCCTGCGTAGCACTCTGCGATGCATGAAGTAAAAAGTCTGTAGGTTTTCCCACTTCAGCTCAAAGATGGTAGTTTTGTCCGGGTTCTTTCCTACTTGGTATAAATACGCTGGAAACATGTTTTTGAAGGGACTTTTGACCTTGGAAGCATTGGGAGAGCATTGGAGGCTACAAGACTTAGGATTTCATCATCTTTCCATCAATTCAATATGGGAGTTTAGATTGTAACGTTGGAATGATGCTTCCTTATTCTTTAATTATATTTGTGATGACTTTCTCCATGACTATGGAGTAATTCACCTTAGGGTTTGACGGATATGGTATTTTGATAAATATTTGCGAATTTTAACTCTAGTTCTTGCTTGAATTCGTTTATGGAGTTTTGAGTCGTTGCAACTTTATTCACCGATTTATTTAATCGAAAGAGGAATATTTTAGTGATTATCTTTGCATTATTTTATTTGATTTAATTCATTGATTTTCTTAAGTAATCGAAGGAGCTTGTTGAATTGTTGATTAAATCAAGTTAGGAGAATATTCGAGAGACATTTTCGTAAAGACTAATCCATTAACGCATGCTTCCATATTTTCACAGTGCTTATATTAGTTCACCTCGTAGAGTTAAGATTTAATCGAGAGAGGAGTCTTGACTACACGATTGAACTAATTGTCGAGTGAATTCGTAAGAATTATTAGAACATTAGAGTGAATTAAACTAGAGTTAAATCTCAAATAACTATCTTGCACCTATCCTGTCGAATCCTTATTCCTCATATTGATAAGAAACCAACTCTGCTAATCTCTAGTTCCTTGCAGTCAATTGTCAATTGCTTAACTTTAGTAGTTAATCGTAGTTCGTAATCAATACAAATCATGTTTTGATCATCCTGAATAGCAGTTAAACTAGAAATTACTAGAGCATTGTTTAAATCCAATCCCTATGGAGACGATAATTAGACTATATTAGCTTTGGCTATCGAGCATCAATTTCGTGTTGTGTTTTGCGCTCGTCAAATTTTGGCGCCATTGCCAGGGATCGGCAATCAATATTGTTCAAAATAGTTTTTGGTGTTAATTCAGGAATTTATTTTATTCTTCATGGGTTTCCCTTTCGTGTGCAGGCAACATGTTAAGTTCGTGGTGTATGACTCGGTCTTCTTCAAAAGAAGTAATACCCTACAAGACGGAGTTGGAAAAACACCTGCGACAGTTGAGGAAAGAGAAAGAACTCACCGAAAAGTTCTTGGGGCAACCTTCAACCCTAGAACGCATGGCTAATAACGGTGACAATGATGTAGATTTGGCTGCAAGAGAGGCAGCACAACATAGAGAAGAAGTTGCACGGATAGAAGCAGAGGCAGTCTGCTGATGAGACCGTCGAAGATGACGGAGGTCGAAGATTCAATCTGAATCGACTCATGGTTGAAGACCAGTTCGAGAATGTGATACCCAGGTGGTAGAGTATTAGGTGATTATGGTAGACCAGTCTACAATGAGGGACTGTCCAGTGTTAGACCTCCACCAGTAGCAGCAAATAATTTTGAGTTGAAGCAAGGCTTGCTTCAAACTATCCAGAACAACTGTGTCTTCAGAGGGAAGGTGAATGAAGATCCTAACACTCACTTGATGGATTTTCAGGAAATCAAGAACACCTTCCAGTACAACGCAGTGTCAACAGATTCATTATACTTAAGGGCATTTCCTTTTTCACTGAAGGATGACGCAAATCAATGGCTTTGTAGCTTACCGACGGGGTCGATCATGACATGGGAAGATATGACTAACAAGTTTCTTGACAAATACTTCTCAGTTGCAAAAACATTGAAATTCAGAAGAGAAATTCACAACATCTGCCAGATGGATACTGAAATAGTTTGTGAGGCTTGGAAAAGATTCAAGGAGATAGTGAGGAACTGTCAGCATAATGGGATTGAATTATGGATGCAACTCCAGTACTTTTGGGATGGACTGACACCTCCCTCACGACAAACTCTAAACAATGTAGTTGGAGGTCCTTTAATGAAGAAGACTCTTGAGGAGATTGTAGAAATTCTTGAGGAGCCTTTTGAAGATGCTAACCAGTGGCCTACTGAGAGTAATAATAGAAGGAAACCAGATGTGGTTCATCAAGTAGATTCTAACACATCAGTGGAAGCCCAGCTAGACGCCATGACCAAAGAGATAAGAAAGTTGACCTTAGCCAAGGTTCAGAGCCAACCATCATCAATTTATGATTTTTGTGGAACGGGTCATCCAACGCATGAGTGACAGGCCTCAGCTGCAGATGAAGAGATAAATGTTGTGGTAAGCTTTGATAGAAACAACTACCAGAGTGGTAATAATTTAACTATATGGGACAGAGGCACCCAAACTTTTCTTGGAGTTCACCAAGTGGTAGCCTGAACTCATGGCAGCAGAATAATCTAAGACTCCAGGGACAAGGAGCTCCAGGATTTCAGAATCAACAGAGGTAGCAATACCAGCCTCCACAGTCTAATTAGTCTAGCATGGAAGATCTAATGAAATCTTTCATTATTAAAACGGATGAGATATTGGAAACTCATGGTACATCTATTCGAAACTTAGAGAGGCAAGTGGGGCAGGTTGCTAGTCTGTTATCCGAGAGGTCTCCAGGAACCCTCGTTGTGGATACTGAAAGGAATCCAATGGAAATAATAAATGCAGTGTTATTGAGGAATGTAAAATTATTTCAAGATCTGTTGGTAGCAGAGAAGAGTGAGTTAACGGGAAATCAATTTAAGAATGAAGTGAGGGCAGAGCAAGAGGATGATCTAAAGAAGAAGAACTAATATGAAGTTCCAACAAAGGAATAAGGAAGAAAAACAAAGAATGAATGAGGAGATTGAAGAAAGTAAGTATATGCCTACTCTACCTTTCCCGCAGAAGCAGAGAAGAGAGAAGTTGGACAAACGATTCGGGCGCTTTCTAGAAGTTCTCAAGCAGGGCATGTGAATATACCTTTCACGGATGTTTTTTCACAAATGCCAGCTTATGCTTAATTCTTGGACGAGATATTTTCCAAAAATCTAAAAGTGGAAGAGACATCGGTTGTCAAGCTCACAGAGCAGTAGTTCCATTCTGCAAAATAAACTTCCTCAAAAATGTGGAGATTCAAGGAGTTTTACTATACGTTGTTCGTTAGGAAGTACTAAATTTTAAAAATCTTTGTGTGATTCAGGTGCTTCTATTAATCTTATGCCTTTGTCTATTCTCAGGAAATTAGAGGGAGAGATTGGAGAAATCAAGGCGATACCTGTGTCCTTGCAGCTGGCAGATCAAAGCACGCTCATACCTGAAGGAATAGTGGAAGATGAGCTAGTTCGAGTGGAAAAATTTGTGTTCCCTATGGACTTCATTATGGTGAACATGGAGGAGAATTGGGAGGTCCCTCTGATTTTAGGAAGACCCTTCTTGGCTACGGGTAGAGTAATTCTGGATATTCAGGAATGCCAGCTCATGCTCAGAGTGGGGAAATAAAGGGTGATCTTCAAGATGGAAGCCCTAAAGGAGCAACATGAAGAGAGTAAAACTGAAGTGTGGGGTGTACCCAAAGAAGGCTGAAAAGAAGCTCTGAGCATGGATGTGTGCATTGGGTCGGCCATGCAAAGGAGATCCCGACTTTGATTCAGACCCCGACCAGATGAATCAGGGAAGTTTCATTTACCTCTTGCTTGTTATTTTTGTGTCATGGGAACATGCCACAATTTAAAGTGTGGGATGGGGGATGTAAATATGTACATGTGTGTTTGTTTTCGTTTCTTTTGAAAAAACAAAGAAAAAATTTGACTTTTCCCGACGATGGAGTTCCTCGATTGTCTTCTTGAGAGATCGAATTCAAAGAAGAAAAAAGATATTTTGTTTTTCTTAGGTAGTGTCACAATTCCCCCTTGGTTTTTCTTTGTCCCGTGATTTTTTCCAATGGTGTTGCTTGAACCGGGTGTATTTAGTTTATTTTTATTAGGAATAGTGAAGTCCTATGTTATGGTATTAATTGGAGATGACTTTTCTTGACTTTGTTATGCCTTGAGAGTAGTGAGAGCTTTAGTTGTGACGACTAGGCTCAGTTCTTGACTCATGGATAAGTACCTTAATTTGTTTGATCTTGACGTTGCTTAACTACTTTGACTAGAGAGTCGGGATAGATCCAATCCTGAGTGAGTTATGTGCCAATGTGTGTGTGAGGTTGTTAGTGATATTATGTGCATGTCAGTTGATCTCTAGAACTTGTCATGTGTGTTTGCAAAGCGAAATAGTAGTCTTATTCAGTCTAGGAAGTGATATTGGCATTTCTTTGTTGAGACAAGTATATGATTTTGCCATCCTAATTAACGGATATCTTAGCTAGCCTCGTTGAGCCTGACTCCTCTTTCTTTGGCAACTACACTACAAGTCTGACCCCTTTGTTTGAATTGACTATCTGTTTGAACTGTTTACCTCTCTTGAGCACTTGATATATTTATAAGCTTGTTAAAAGCTAAGTGAAGGTATGGTTGGGTTTTTGAGTGGAACTATTGGAAAAAAAAGGTACACTGTGTGAAAAAATTGTGAGAGCCACTTGTATGGAATTGAAAAAAAAATCAGAATCCAGAAAAACAAAAAAAATGTTTGTGTTTTGTATATATTATAAAGAAAATTATTCCTTGCTAGTGGTAAATCTTGATTTGTCTTTGCTTAAAGAAATTGGGAGCTTGGTGTTAGTATGATGTGAAGGTTGGGGTTTGGTTCAACACAAGTGTGGGGTTTAAATTGTGAAATTGTAAGTATTAAAGCTCTCAGGGAGGTCTAGCCACTATATCCATATGTATCCTACACGTCCCGCAGCCTACATTACAATTAGTGCTGGCAAAATGAGCCCATATTTTGCCAACCCGCCCAATCCGCCCATATTTTAATGGGTTGGATGAGTGATATTTAAGTTAGGTAAAATTTGGGCTTCAACCCATATTCAACCCGTAGAAATATGGATATTCATAGGTAAAATATGGGTTAGACTAGTGGGTTATTGTTTAGCTTAACATTTTCCTTATGAACTCATTTTCCTCCAATTGAAGGAAATTATTTTCCTTATCAAGAGAAGGAAAAATATTTTTCAAAAACTCTTTTTCAAATCTAAACCCACCATATGCCTCATCCCCACCAACCCACCTGCNCCTCATCCCCACCAACCCACCTGCGCCCCAAACCACCCTAGCCCACCCCACCCCTACCCACTACTACCATCCCATCCCCACCCAACTCAATAGAAATATTATTAAGATACTTTTTCATTTCAACAAAATGCAATAGATTTTTTTTCATTTCAACAAAATAAGTATTTTCTGATGTAGAAAAAGTATTTTCTTTATTTTAATAAAATAAGTACTTTCTTTTTTTTTATTGTAGAAAGATTACTTTCTTTTTAAACCAAAAATAGTATTTTCTTTTTAGTTATGGAGGACATATTTCAACGTTGAGTTTGTACAGAGTCATGTATTTCAAAGTAGATTGTTGTTGAAACTTGCTATTTTCATGTAATGTTTAGGATTTAATGCTCAAGTTTTTGTTGATCTGCTCCCTTCTCGTCTGCTACTTTTCTTCTATTTTCTTTATATATTTCATGTTTGTAATATATTTTTTGAATATAAATAGTATCTTTCTATTTATAGTATTTTTTTTAAATTTATTTAGTTTTATATTGGATTGCAGACAATATATAAACAAAGTGAAAAATGCACAGAGTCATATATTATTAGTGATATTGCTTGATGTGCATTAAACACATTTTTTCCTAAAATGAAAACTGTTTTAAGTTCACAATATGGTACTTAAATTTGAATAAATTTAATGAAGGAAAGTATATATTATTCCAGTTAAGCTTATGTCACTAAATAATCTGAGCAAAAGCAAAATTATAAATTGCATTTGAAAAAAAATTACACTTATATAAAATGGGTTAACCCATATTCAACCCGCCCATTTGACACCCAACCCGTTTTTTACCCGCATGAAATATGGGCGGGTTGAGACCCAACACATTTTTGCTCAACCCATTTTTGACCCGCCCAAATCTAACCCAACCCGCCCATTTTCCACCACTAATTACAATCAAAATAAAGTGCTACTTGATCGTTGACTGAATGAGCTCAATTAGTACAGTATTACACTATGGGCAAGCCTATGGTACATTCTCTGTGGCGCATGAATTTTTTTTCTAAGAGTGAGTGAATTCTTTCTATCTTGAGTTCCTATTTGTTCTTGAGTTTTAGTGTGTGTGGAACTACTCTCTATCTTTGGTGTGAGGGCACATCAATTGTGAAGGAGAGGTAATTTCTTTGGCCTCTGTGTTACAGTAAGTGAGCGGGTTTTGAAAAATATGTGGTGCTTTTGAGTCGAGTCTTGAGGTTAGGATGTTATGATATGATGCTTAGTCTGCTTTAAATATTCTTGGCATGATGTGTTAGGAAAGTTGTCTGATGAGAAGGTCGTTTCTATATGAAGTGTCGTTTGATTGCTCGAGGACGAGCAATAGTTTATGTGTGGGGTTTTGAAGGTAGGCTAGAATCACATGTTTTAGCCGCATTTTGCACTTCAATTACTGCACTTTGAGCGTCTTTGAGCTTAAATAATGGAGCTTTGCACTTATTATGTATTTTATGCTTTGTAGGAGATGATTCCAAGTTAAGAAGATGTTCTGGAGCTAAGCCGAATAATTTGGAGCTTTGAAATCTGAGTAAAAGCCCAAGGAATTTAACCGAGATCGCGTCTGGGGACCGGCGTTGCATACGAAAGTTGGAAGAAAGAGCAAGGGCTAGAGCAAAAAGTACTAGTGTGTCGCATAAGGTGTGGCATTAAGCATCGCATTAGTACAAAATTTCGTCAGAAATTTGAGAAGTTTAGAGACTTGGAGTTTTTGGGTCTGACAGAAAAATACACTAATGCTGCACATAGTGCGTGGCATAGTGCGAGGCATTAGTACAAAAGTTTGTCAGACAAGCTAAGTTCAGAGAGTTTACAACCGAGAATATTGCACTAATGCTACGCACTCTGCGTAGCACTCTGTGACGCATGAAGTGTAAAAAGTTTGAAGGTTTTCGCACTTCGACTCAAATAGGGTAGTTTCGTCCGGGTTCGTTCCTACTTGGTATAAATACACTGGAAACACGTTTTTGAAGGGATTTTTGTCCTTGGAAGTTTTGGGAGAGCATTGGAGGCTACAACACTCATGATTTCATCATCTTTCCATCAATTCATTATGGGAGTTTGGATTGTAACGTTAGATTGATGCTTCCTTATTCTTTAATTATATTTATGATGACTTCCTCCATGACTATGGAGTAGTTTACCTTAGGGTTTGACGGATATGGTATTTTGATAAATATTTGCAGATTTTAACTCTTGTTCTTGCATGAATTCGTATGGAGTTTTGAGTTGTTGCAACTTTATTCACCGTTTTATTTAATCGAAAGAGGAATATTTTGGTCATTATCTTTGCATTATTTTGTTTGATTTAATTCATTGATTCTCTTAAGTAATCGAAAGAGCTTGTTGAATTGCTGATTAAATCAAGTTAGGAGAATATTCGAGAGACGTTTTTCTAAAGACAAATCCATTAATGCATGCTTGCATATTTTCACAGTGCTTATATTAGTTCACCTCGTAGTGTTAAGATTTAATTGTGAGAGGAGTCTTGACTACACGGTTGAACTAATTATTGGGTGAATTCATGAGAATCATTAGAACAAGAGTGAATTAAACTAGACTTAAATCCCAAATAGCTATCTTGCACCTATCCTGTCAAACCCTTATTCCTCACATTGATAAGAAACCAACTCTACTAATCTCTAATTCCTTGTAGTCAATTTTCAATTGCTTAACTTTAGTAGTTAATCGTAGTTCGTAATCAATCCAAATCATGTTTTGTTCATCCTGAATAACAGTTAAAACCAGAAATTACTAGAGCATTATTTAAATCCAATCCCTATGGAGACGATAATTAAACTATACTATCTTTGGCTACCGAGCATTAAATTCGTGTTGTATTTTGCGCTCTTCAATCTGTGGTGGGATTTTCCGCAGATGCGGCTGCATCATCGCAAAAGCGAAGGGAAGGCTAGCAGGGGAAGTCCGCAGATGCATATAGTTGTGCTCAGGTGCGCAACCGCATATGCGCAATAGGATCCACAGAAGTGGAGTTTGACTGGACGAGTAGGGGTCGCAGATACGGCAGGATTTCCACAGGAACGCGTATGCAAGTGTGGGAAAATGACCGTCGAAGCGGTAGTTCGGGGCTTAAATGATCTCGTAGATGCAAGAATTTGACCGTAAAAGTGCAAAAGCGACGTCGCATGTGCGATTAAGTGCACCGCAAATGCGTTTCTCTGGGAAGAATGTGAAAAAAGAGGGTTTGGTCATTTTCTCATATTTGGAATTTTGGAACTCAGCTGGAGGCTATTTTTGGAGTGCTTTTTATCGTAATTGAAGAGGTAAGTAAAGTATAA